TGATTAGTGTGGATTTGTGAAGTAGGTATCCAGTGGCACAGTCCTGAGAGGGGTTCAGCTGCAGGCCAAACTTAGTCCAAGCCTCTGCTGCTCCAGGGCCACCTGTTAAGCTTCAGCAAGCAATCCACAGATGCTGGGCTTATAGTTACCTCAAAAGGCCACACTAGAAACCAAGGCCAGCTTCCTCCAGTGTGAGTCTAGGTGCTGCTCAGCAAGGAGCACCTGACTCACTGAGGATACACCCGGATGTGGCTTGGGTGCGGCCATGAGTTGGGGGAAGTGGGGTTTCAGGGAATCCTCTGGGTGGAAAGACTTCTGTTACCCAGTTTGATGATATCATGACTATGGCAGCACTGTGTCCGGTGCACTGGTAGCGGGGAGGGCTCAACAAAGAACAATAGATACCACCAGCACTCCTGTACAGAGTGATTCTCGCCTTGGCCCTCACTCTGACAATGTCTCCTTGTAAGTCTCTGGTCCCCACTGCAAGCAGGTGAGTTGGCACTGGTGCTCAGAGTGAGCAGGTCTGTCACCGTGAAAATCCGCTTGCGGACGCAGCTCCTTTAAGAGACTTCAGCCGCAACCACTGCTGCAGCCTCCGTTTCGCTCAGCCTCTCAAGACCGGGCAGCCCTGCGTCCTCACCCCATCCTACCTTCTGACACTGAAGGGTGCTTTCTTGGATTTCTCCCTGTTCATCTAGATCCCAGGCGATTTTTCCTTGCTGCTGCTCCTTGTTTCCATCACAACTTTGATTTGGTCGCTGGAGGGGTGAACAGAACCTCTATCATCTATGCCATTTTTTTCCCTCTACAAGCTTTTGGGTAGCCATACCTTTTCAGTTCTCTTGGGTACACACCTAGGTTCGTTAACTCTTTTAAATCAAGGTGATAAATGCTTTTTTCTTCATTTCTGTCTGAATATAATAGAAATTTAAGAGAAGGGCTAAATTCTTATTACCTTCACTGCAATAAAAATTAGCTCTTGCTAGAGACTTGGCAATTCGGGAAGGATTAAAGAAAGATTACTTCCACCAATCTTTGTTGCTTCTTTGTCACCTCAAGTGTTCCCAGATGAAAATATCTGACGGGCCATCTCAAGGAATTACACATACCATTTAGGAAGCATGACTTTATTTGCTTAAGTTTATAAAATGCAATATAATACCATTTAGGCAAATAAAAATGAAGAGTTGTGATGGTTGGCTAACTAGGAGACTAAGTGAGGGATGACTCTGCCTTTCAACTTTAAAACACAAACCTGATTGAAATGCAGTGGCTGTAAGGGGTGAACATGGCAACGGAAGATACCATGCAGCAGGTTTGGCCAAGAGCAATTTATTTTTGTTTGTGTTCTTAGCATTTTCCTCAAATGTTTTATTTTGAAAATTTTCAAATAGGCAGAGAAGTTGAGAAGTTAGTACAAGGAATACTCACATTTTTTTTTTATCAATGAACATTGTGCCACATTTGCTGTATCTCTCTGTATATTATGTTCTTTTTAAATGAAGTCTTTGAAAATAAGTTACAGACATAAACCTTTTATGCCAAAGAGAATGGACATTGTAGCTGAACTGCTTTCTCTACAGAGGTCGATCTGGAAAAGATCCTCTTAGATGTGGATTTTGAACTTTTAAAATTCGAGATATAATAATAACATTTTCATATAATTTAAATATTTAAGAAGTCGTACAATTACTGAACATCCACTATGTGGTAGGCATTGTGCTGGCCTAAAAGATCTGGTATAGGAAAGGGACACACACCAATGAACAAATCAAAGCAATATAATGACAATAAAGCAAGGATAAAAATGGGCAAATGGTATAAAGGAAAGCTTCTCAAAGAAGATGGATCCCTGAAAGACTAATTGGTCTCGTTTCTTGAAAAACTAATAAGTAGAAGTCAGCAAGGCAATTGAAGTAGAGGCATGTATTTATGAAGGCATAGAGGGCTAAAATAGCACATCTTCTGGAAACTCAAAGTAGTTTAAGAATGGAATTTAATATTGAAGTGTAAAGTGGGATAGGTGGAATGTGTCGGGACTTTTATTATGCTGTTATCCTGCAGGCACAAAGGAACCAGAAAAGGGTTTTAAGTTTGGGAAGGAGGTAATAGAATTTACTTAAGGGAGTGTTGGCTATAGCAACTAGAGGTGATCTTTGAAGGGACTTTGGAGGCCAGAGACCAGCTGCTGTTAATGGTCCAGGGTCCAGGTGGCGGGGCCATAACCAAGGCAGTGATGAAGGGAATAGAAAAGAATGGGATGCATTTGAGAGTGATGAGAAGACCTCAAAGCTTATTGGAGGTAGCTGAGAGATGTACAAAATGACTCCCAAATTTTTCACCTGGGTAGTTGGGTAGGTGATGGTGCCAAGACAGAATACGGGGGTGGGGAGGAAGGAATGTTAAAGGGAGGAGTGGAAAAGGAAGAGAATGAGTTAGGCTTTGGAATTGTCACATTGGAAAGCCCAGTGAGCTATCTAGGTGGATTACTTCTGGAGAACTGCAGAGAGGTGTGAACTGGAGACAGTTTAAGGGGTAGTAAAGCCAAGGGTGTAGCTCAGATTGCCTACAGAGGGCAGAGGGCATCTAAAGCGGA